ACACACCACTGAGTGAAAAAAAATATTCTCTCTACAAACGTCCGACACAAAGGTCAAATATTTCTGACTCGTAGGTGAGTGAGAAAAGTTCAGAAGAGGAAATCATCATATAAATAATATAATACAACCCTGCCCCACAGATTTGGCCCCACAGAAAAGAGATAAGTTGGAAAACTGTTGAGCGATAGGAAATGACAGGTCAGGGAGCCCAGTGCTACCAGCTTACCGGACTATTCTTCCAGTTTTACACACTGTGGGCTTCTTCATCTTCCTTTTCCTAAACCCCAAAACACTTATATTTATGGATGCTGGCTGCCCAATGATAACACATAAAACAAAGGGAATCCTTCTGCTAACTTTTCCCCTACATCTGTGATTATTTAGATCCCTGAAATATAGCTTGCAGTATTGTTAAAAGTTCTTCATCTGTGACTCTCCTCTCATTGTTGTGAGTTATTGTCTATTTTCAATTGAGTGATTTCAGTCTCTCAAAGGTAAACCTTAAGAAAACTACTGGCCGTTGTCTTTACATTTATTATTTATTTATTTATTATGACAAGAACCTTGCGATCTTTAAGGTGGGTAAATGTGAATAATGCAAAAAGAGAAAGTAAATAATCATTAGATACAGCTCATGTAAATGTATCAAGTTATTAAACGTCACGGTCTCACTGCACCCAGAGCTGCAAGACCACAAAAGATAATCCCAGTAATCTACAGAACGTCTTCCCTTCATTCATCCACATACAACTACATGTCACTACAGCCTTAACGATTTTGCAGCAACTAACGTACACACGCTACATATGGAGCTCTTATTGCAAACAATAAAAACAGAAGCCACAACAGTGAGGATGTACACCAGCTGTAGTCATGGCAGCAATGAGATTTACGGCCACTCAAGAATATACGCAGGAAAATATTACAAATAATCATAAATATTTATCTTGCAGTCATTAAGACATAACGTTTGCTTCCTCTAATCCAAACATAATCTTTTCCGATAGTTCCCATCACAATGAATAATGAAAATCCACTCAGAGGAAACTGCATTAAAGCACCCTTGAAATTAAACACGCAGATGATCCAGATCAAACCTATGAACAGAATTACTTACCAAGACAAGGTTCATTTTGGGAGAGCAGGCAGTGTGGAAGTTAAACAACCAACTTATGCTGAAATTCACTCATTTGAAAGCAAAACAATGTCGTTTTCAGCAGCAGGACGAGGCACTCTGACTGAGCTGAGGTGTAGATTTCCTTTAAAGCTGACTCAAATTAACGGTTTTAGGAAGGCTTTGTTTGTGCGAGTGTGTGTGTATGAGTGTGTTTGTGGGTCAGGGCTTTCAGTTCTTTGGAGTGTTCAGAGAAGTGTTGCGAGAAACAGGAAACAAAGTCAGATGTAACCACCCACCCCTTACAGACACACGCATACGCACATAGTGACAGTGTAATTCCACTGAATCTCAGTGATAATGATGTGGTTCAGACAAAAGCCCTGGTGACATACATGGGGATATTTCACAAGCTGGACAGTGTGGTTAGATCTGATGGTGGTGCGGAGTGGGGCATGTAAGAGGAGGTGTTGTACACCGTGAAGGTGTTGGCCATGTTACCGGCTCTAAAGCAACCTACTTTTCATTCAAACTTCAAAAGAAGAGAGAAAAAAGAAGGATGGGACCACAATGAGAATCAAACAAATGTGGTTAACTCAGTTGTTTATCATATCAGAGGAGAGAATATTGACTCTTCCTCTTTTAATCCGACATATAAATCTACACCAGTCACATTTTATTGGTTCACAAATTCTGTTCAGCGTGTGTTTTGACAATTTAACTGAACGCCACACTTATGTAAAGGACTGAAAAAATACACCAAAAAAGAAGTATACAGGTTTAAAAATAGAATTTATAATCCAAAGGAATACATTGTTCATATGGCATGGAGTGCTGACTAAGACTTCAGTGTAAATCAAAAAAAAAACAGCCAAGCCTTTTTCAAGTTTGAGAAAGAGCAATGCAATATGCAATAAATAAAATAATGCTTTCCAAAATAAATCCAGGAACTATCAGTGCATCAGGCATTTGGCTTCCTGCTGTAGACACAAAGACACACTGATGTAAGGATGCTACATTCAAAAAGGGGGAAATTTGAGACTTACAAAAATATCCAAAAATATCCATCTCTTTTATAATGTGTCAATACATTTGATCTAATGAGTCATAAAGCGCTGAAGTGGGAGTTAAAAAAGACTACATGAGCAGCAATAACGTCCAGTGGTTTTTAACTCACTAATAGTCATACGAAACTCGATTAATCTGAAGATCTGAAGCATTCATCAAAGCTTTTGATGTTGAAGCTGGAGCTACAGTTGGAGCATCCATCCGCCTATCCATGTACTGCACAAACCCACAGGTACATGGATAGACGGATGGATGCCTAGGTGTTGTCAACCTAGTCGAGAGACTTGTTGGACCAGTAACAGAAAAAGAAAGCCAGCAAACATTGTGTAATAATGCGATCTGACTACATTATACTCTTTTCTGTATTTATTGAACACACTGATTTATCATTCAAGATGCTGGTTGATAATATGCTTTGCCTGCAGGACATTTTAATCATTTCCAGGTCAGATCTGCACTCTGAATTTGGATCCTTCTTTCATAAAGATCGGCTTTAGCTCAGCAACAATCTTGGGATGTGTGGTGCTAAAAGGCTCTTAAAGTTAATCCTCAGCATCACAATGTTTTTTAAGTATCCTTCATGTACAATTTATATTTGAATGATTAAGATCCATTTTCTTTCATCTTACCTGCTTTCTACCAAATGTCAGAAATCCCACTTAGACACTCTCCAAGTTCTCCCCAGTGATGGCAGCAACAAGTACTGTTAATGTCTGAATAACATATTCACTATAGAGAAGAACAATGCAATGGGGTTTTTGGGTTTTTTTTGTTAATCCATAAAATAAATGATGTTTTGTAATTGTAACTTAGATAAAGATTTGGCCATGCTTTAAGAGAAACTGTACAGCTGTGGATAGATATGTAAATGATGCGTTAGCACATTTCCTCCTGCTTTCTGGTTCAATCTGGTTCAATCTGATATGCTGTCCTATAAATAAGGAAAGAGACTGGTATTGTCAACACAGGAAGCTGATGGCATATCTGAAAAGGTGTTAAGAGATAGAAAAGCCCTGATATCAAGACTCGAATGGTTACTGCTCCTAGAATGGAGCGTCCTCCGAGATGCAGAGGAAGCAGAAGATCCGGGGAGCCTGTTTACTCTTTAAGAACAATGTGTGAAACTAGCGCTAACTTTGTGAGTTAGCCAGGTAACCCATAACCTTCGTATTATTAGACACATTTGGCACTGCTCATCACCACGGTTAATCATGCCCACAGTCAAACCACAGGAGCAGTGAGTGCACAAGAGATGTGCATGGAGGTTAAATTTGCAAACGTGTTTCCTCCATTTTGACTAAAAAGCCTAAAGAAAACATGAAATGCTCGACTCAACCACAAATATATTTAGATCAGAATTTAAAAGCAATTAAAAGTGTTTTTCTAGTTCATGCAAACCCTTTGAAGTCATAAAACTTTGCCTGTACCGTCTTCTACCTTTGGCATTGCTGGCAATTCTTTCTTTAGTGAGCATTCTCTGAAAGGAAAATGAAGGTGGCTGAATTCATATACAGTGGGGCAAAAAAGTCAGCCACCGATTGTGTAAGTTCCCCCACTTAAAATGATGACAGAGGTCAGTAATTTGCACCAGAGGTACACTTCAACTGTGAGAGACAGAATGTGAAAAAAAAATCCAT